TGCTGTTTCATTAGTTATCGCACTGTCCCATACCACAGACATCTCATGCACTAGTTAATTAACATTGAATTACGGTTACTGTTGTTATTACTGAACAGTTGCCGGTAAGCATCGCGCGCTACGTAAGGACGTCCCTATGGGTGTTCATAATGTTATTCGAACGCGTCGCCGCTTCGTTTCGGTTACGGCGAATAGCTTATGGTCCGACGGGGTAATGCAGGGTAATCTTTTCACGCTATAACGTTCGATTCGAACAATTTTATCAGATTACCCCACTCTGCGATAATCCCAGGTCCGCGTCGACGTTCCGAATAGCGTTCAGCGCTCTACTAGTAATCCAGACTACTTTTGCAGCTCCTCCTCGTGTTCGTTGAAAGGAATTAATGCATTGATTACTCGCAGGATTACGGTCTCTCTTATTTATCACTACCTACAGCTGAATCAAAGAGGATCACTAGCGGGGTCTCGCGTTATCCACGTCCAAACGACAGAATCGCTGGGGTCTGATCCTATGCGGCGATCACCACGGAAGTGGTCGTATCGCTACGGCGATACCTATTGGAATGCATCATGTCTTGTTAGATCTCGTTAACTTTTCGCGGCTAAACTAGGTTGTTATTGTAAGCGCTATAGCGGTCGACGTATCTGTATATTCGAGTCAGAGGCTGGTCGGAAACGTGACGACATTTGGGAGATAAAAACCAATTTAAGCTATTCCGATGTGGGACACTGGGCAGAAGAAAAAGGATCCAGAGCTGTCACCGGTGTGCTATCGAACACAAGTACTTACGTGTGCCAGTAGCAACGGGTAGCAGCTGCACTAGTAACAAGCGTCTGTCGAATTGCTTTAGAACGACCTGTTGTTTTGTTACTAATGATCACAAATCAATTATAGCAATTAGACTTTTCGAAATAAAACTGCATACTGTTCGCAAATAAGCTTGTGTAACTGCGCAATATATCGAAAATTAATGATAACAAAATTAGATCATTCTTTTAAACAACAAAGTAGGTTACACAAAACGCCTCTTCTGTTATGCACCAACTTTGATTACGTGACTTTGAGACGTCACGTTCATATTTATATTTTATATATATTTTTACTTTTATATTTATATTATTTAAGGGTAGACAGCTCAGCGCAATACTTTACCTTCTATGGATAAATTATGTGGTGATGTAGGATTTTCGTTCTTTACAACGCAAACGTACCTTGTTGTACAAACCGTGGATTTCATGTAGTGGCAAGTATAGCTGCTCCAGAGGACCTTTTGACATAACAATATTATCACCTTTTTCTAGCAGTATTATAACTGAGTATTATAGAAATCTTATGATGACCCTTCTTAAACGAAACGTTCAGCATAGTCAATAAGGCCCTGCTGCGCAATTAGACTTATCGACAAGGAACGTGACACAATAACCCGGTCGATAGAGCTAGGTCTGCTGTAAATTTTCTCATGATGCGGGATTTAATGTTAAAAAACATGGCATTGGGTTTGGCCAAACTCTAACCAATTATCTCTTTTTTTTATTATGTTTTTCAGCGAAATCCTCCTGCGCGCATTTTCTTTATGGAAATTGTTTGTCCTATCATTTTTGACCGCTTCCGCCGTTAATCAACTGATCCCTGGTTTGGCCCACATACTGTAGAATAGGAAATACTCTGGGTAGGAAGATGTATATTATGGCTACTCCAAGAATGGGTATCCTACCAAGGGTACGCTAAATGCGAAACCTAACGCTTGCTTGGCAGAGAACGTCTGTACTTGCTAATCAAATCAACTGCTTCTGGCGTCAAAACCAGACCACCACGCGCTCTCGGTTCCTTCGAGTCTCATTGCCTAGGAGGAGTGTCTAGAAAAGTTAGGCCGGTCACCCTTAGCTCAGGTTTCGATATTTCGCCCTTCTCTTCTACAGATGGCTATAGCCTAGTCATTCGTGGAAAGGAAGTGGCAAACCCGTGAATCTGTGCCGCGAAATGAAGAGGCTGCTGTTGTACCCAGTGTCTTCATAACGGCAGGAAAGAAAGGAATTGTCAAGAGCGTGCGAGATCAATATTGCGTACTTGAAGAGACACAGTTTAATGGGCTTAACTCTATACACATATATA